TGGAGCCGGAGCAAAGAGGATTATGGGAGGTTGGGGGTAAATCTCACTTTCTAGTCACAGAAATGTAACAATTCAACAAGGTTTCCATGAAAACAGAGAACAAACAATGATGAAGGTCCTTCATCATCATCATCATCATCGTCGTCGTACAGTTTTCCCAGTAGAAGCAGAACAGCCCCGGCGAATTACCCAGCATCCTCCACTGCCGCCATTTCAAGTCTATTGTTTTCCTTCTTCTTCATCTATAAAAAAAAACAACAGGAAGAGGAATTTTCTGAGTGTGTACTTGTGGGTATTATTTGAATGTACTTGTTCAGTATTTGTAGATTTAACTCCATCACTGGAGGCTGGATGGGGGTCTCAATCTGAGGCTCTCGGTCTGACTGTAAATCCGGCCACAGATATTTAACAGATCATCGACTCGCTCGCCGCTCTGAAACGGTTCTGTGTATGAGAGACCGCGGCGCCGACGCAGGAGCCGCAGAAGTGTCTGTGTGAATGTGCCAAACTGCTGCGTCGAGACGGGAGAGGAAGAGGAGGAGGAGGAGGAGGAGGAGGAGGAGACAGAGGAAGCTGTCAGCAGCCAGGAGGAGCAGTGCCATCCCTGATTAATGTCATCATATTCAAAACAGCGTCAGGACCGACCTGTGGAGAAGTGTTTCACTGCCATTATATTTAATTTAAATCTGCAGAGTTCGTCTGTCACGTCGAGACGTGGCTCGGAGAATGAGTGACGGAAAGTTTCAGGGAAGCAGATTGTTTCCTAAATAAACCGCGACATTTGATTGTCAACCAGAAACGGATTATGATTTTGATTAAACCGCGACATTTGATTGTCAACCAGAGACGGATTATGATTTAAGAAAAAAATAAAAATAAAAATAAAAATTCAACTTCATGAACCTGGAAAGTTTTTTGGCATTTTCATTCAAATCTGTATAAATATATCAGATGGAACTCAGTGACACTGAGGAGTTTGGATCATCAGGAGAAAGTTCAGGAGTAAACATCGAGTACAGAGGAAGATAAATAAATAAATAAAACATTTGAGATCAGATTTAAAATGCAAATTAATGTGCTGTTCTGGCTCTTAACTGAAAGTTAAAGTGCAAAATGAAAACTTTTCTAAAAACAAAATAAGTTCTTAAATAAAAGTAAATTAAAAATTAAAAAAAAAAGAAGTCATTATTACAATCTTACGGTTGCAGGAACACAGTTTAACCCGCAGGGGTCAGCGTTGAGACATGGCAAGTGAGACGAGTCTGGTGAGAGAGAGAAAAAAAACACACAGAAGTGCAGAACTTTTTCCTGATAAATACGATGTGTCGAGAAACAAAAGTTCGTGTTGAAGCCTCTCCGACATTGACGTCACGTCAGCGAAAGGAAACTAAATAATAATTGGACCAACGTCGACGTAAACGCGGCTTCGATCCTCACTCGTTCGCCCGATGTTATCGGACGACTTCTAATTAGCCCAACTTCAATGACTCACAGAGAGCAGGCTATTAAATCGGCCATTGTCCCCTGGTGCATTAGTGCAATTAGCAGCGATATGAGCTGCCCCGTCCCCCCCTCTCCGTCACATTTACGGCCATTAACTCCAGTTGCAATTAAAAACGCCGTTCCGGATCGCGCGCCGCTGGCAGCAGTGAGGAAACTGAAGTGGGAAAAGTTCAGGAATCCTGTTCTGCTGGAGGAAACTTTGACACTGCAGCCCGCGGAGTGGGGTCATAATTATGGGCAATAGTTGCCTCCGTCACTCATCCAAGTCACAGCGGCTGTTGAAATCCTGCAGGGGGGGGGGGCGGCGGGTGGGGGGGGTTTGGGGGGGTGGTG